CAGAGAACAATTGTTCTTACAGGGCATACATTTCCTGCATCTTCTAAAACCTGTATCCATTGTTTTATTCTTAATAGTATCAGAGGATTTGAGCATTGGAGCCAACATAAGTTGCAAATTTGGTGCTCTGGTAAAAATAATATGTGGTCTAAAGTCTGATATTTCTACAAGCGTGGGGTCATTTCTAAGAACATTCCAATGCTTTTTCAAAATCTTCTCTATAGTGCGAGATTGATGATTAAATTGTGTTATAAAGGTAGGTGCCGAGGTTGCTATACCATTTTCCTATCACAATTCTTCAAAGACAGGTTTTTGGTGAACTCCTGTGTTTATCCAGTTTTGAGCAATCCACCACAAGTCCGATTCCCTCATTCCTGTGTGTTGCATTAGGCATACCAGACATTTTAATTTTCTATGCATAAATAAATGCATGGTCCAAAAATGCATTAATAAAATTCCAGGAAAGTCCCATAAATGGATAGTTCAAAGATGCATATATATACACATATATTATTATTTTTTACACTGATTGATTTTAACTTTATTTTTTATATTACAGATGCAGGGAGACTGCCTGTCAGCACAGACAGTCCCCCTGCAGACAGATACACAGGCACCTATTGCGGCCATGTGATTAAGCGATCACGTGGCCGCGGGGTCCTAATCTGCCACTGGGAGACTGTCTGGGCAGACAGGCATTCCCCCCGACCAGAAGAAATGCTGATCGCCGCCGGGGGAACGACGGCGATCAGGTAAGTACCCCAATACCATTATGATGGTTCAGTACCGTCATCGGTCCTCAAGGGGATGTTTCTGATGATGGACCCATAGCCTTAAGACTATCCTACACATGCTTAAACTACCTAACTTTTTATGCACAGACACAGTCTCCATTCAACACAAGACAAATCTCTCCCAGGCGTCCCTGTGTCTGGGAGATAACTGAGTCAAAGACCAGTAACTCAATTATCTCTCAGTTACAGGGAATCATACATGAAATACATAAAACACCCGAAAAATACAATCACAATACACAGGAACCCCATGTAGCGGAGAGCTGATATTCCACAGGTTATCGCCACTCAAAATCATTGGAGGCTGAGGAACAAGTATTACAAATCCATAAAGCAATAATTACAGCAGGCAAGACAATCCATGAATATCCCAATATAAATCCCAATGACTGGACGACACACAGCATCAGGAGCAGAACTGAACTTTTAATCCACACAACCTTCTTTTAAAGCTTTCTCCCATGCAAGGGAGGGATTCACATTAATCAGTACAGTATCCAATAGTGTAACTGTTACCTCCCACACATCTCCTCCCCTCAGCGTGACACATAATCCACTTATACATACTGTAGTTTTACCCAATTTCTGGATGTACCCCAAAACAGTCAGATAGAATTATATACTGGGTACCCCTTGGTAGCCCTAATCTTGGTGACTAACATATTCAAAATTCACCCAGATCGAACCAAGGGTTCGGGAGTTAGATGGAAGGTGAAATTTGACCGACCGCACACGAGGTAGTATCCGAAAAAAGCTCCATGTGTTTTTCGCCTTGCGGTCGGTCTCCGTTCAGGAGTTAAAATACATAGAAATATTTGCCATCCACAGCAAATCTTACATTCGTATTAATTCCCTTGTTCGGGACATTTATTTTACGGAGCTCTGGAGGTCTCAGCGGTCTCAGCGGTGTTCGGTCTCCTAAATCCCCAGACAACTGACCGACTCCCAGCAGATCTGGGAGGGGAAGGCGGTCAAACTTGTCAGAGTTGGACGCACAGATAGCGGTCACCTCCTATGAGCATTCCTGATAGGGCTTTATCATGTTTACATGGAGCATGCGTTGCCCTCTTGTTCCTGCGCAGGGCCCAATTATATGAGTGGTGTCACATCTCTGTTCCACCACTCTATAAGGCGGCCTGTAACTTATTGTGACGAGACCAATCTCGCCACATTGTATTGGAGAAGCCTATTTGCCAGCCTCCTTCCACATGACTATGGCCCCTGGGAGATGGTGAAAACGTATGCACTTTTATTGGGTGTGTATGGCCCTTTAAGACAGTCAGTGGGCATATTGTGGCTTATGGACTCTTTATGGGACTGGTGCTGGCCCTTTAAACACCTTTTTGGGACATCAGGACGATTGGGACACTGCCCCTTTAAGACGGTGTCCCCAGACTTGTTTGGGACACTGCCCCTTTAAGACGATGTCCCCTGTGTCCCCAGACCTGGTTAAAAATCTTTGTGTCTGGCTATTTCCCACTTGGTTCAGTAAATGGGGCTTACTGAACCAAGTACCACACAGGCAGACCACGCAGAAGTGGAAGTGTGCAGGTAATTTACCTCCCAGAAGCTGCGGTTAACTGCAGCTTAATTGACAATGCTGGGTGGCCTTTGTTCGTTTGCTGAACACGTGGCGGCGGCCATCTTTGTTAATGCGAACGAGGTCAGCGGTATGTGTAGCCAAATTCATTGAACTAAAATCGGCTACACATTTCCGCGAGCACCGCTGAGCCCTACCTTCTCCTACAATGATTTTACAGCTGCAGAGACGAAGTCCCATTCAGCTATGGGACTTAGTCGTTTTTTCAGCCTGAAATAGACCGACCGCACAGCCCAAATCTATGGAACTGTTTTGGGTAGGAAAATGTGCTTGCGGTCAGTCCAGCTAACTTTTTAACCCCTGGATGGATTTGTCTGATTTTTGGTTATGTTTATGTTTAAAGTGTGCTGATTAATAATATGTATATTAATATTGGATGTATAGTTTTAAAGTTACAGTGTATGGATAAAAACTGTATTTTTACTGCCTGTGTTAATTATGTTAAACCAGTGTGTACCATAATTATATTACAGGCAGAGGGGAGGATTTTTGTGTGTAATTGCTGGGAGTGTTTCTGTAATGTACGTTTCTGGGTGGTACTAATGTGTAAGAATGTGTATATAAGAATAATAAACCCACAGGTCTGTCTGTTCACTGCTTGACCCTCAACAGAGCTTTGTCTCGTTCTTGGGGGGATTTATTGTATGCTGTTCCAGTTCGACTGCTAGGAGTGTAAACCTATTCGTATGTTTTTTCCTATTTGGCTGTTTACAACATTCGTATGGTTTCCTGTTCGGCGGATTGGTGTTCTGCAGTAGCTGTGCCTGTGTCTCTGGAAGGGAAGATCTACTAAACGGTGTTGTATAATCCTTCTCTCACCACCAATACTTCCAATTGGTATCCTTTTGAGAGAAATCCACTCTGCGTTGTGTTTTAATAGTGAATGTAATATCCCTGTGTCACCTCTTCCAAGAACTAACATATATCTTTATCCCCTTGTCCAGATAAATATATGACTAGAACTACTAAGGTATTCTACCCGATATTACAAATAAACAGCCAACACCATAGTTCTTACCAGAGAGAAATCTTTACTTAGAATCTGCCCAATTCAATATTACAGAAGAAGAATGTTACAGAGTTATAGTTAAAATTCATTCATAACACTCATACATTCCATCTATCTAATACTATCTGCTACATTGTGTATAATAATATCTGCTACATTGTGTATGTGCTGTGCAATGTTATGTGCAGCATGTGTGTCTTACCAAAACCCAATCTAATGTGATGTCAGTATCTTCTATTTTTAAAGGAATTGGTTCCCATGTTGTAAATAGCAAATTCCTCAGCTCAATTGATATGTAAATGTGATTTACTTTCCCAAGGCCTAAAGTGTTGTCTATCCTGTTATTTTATTTGTTAACTCTCCCAGCCATCCCTTTGCCTCTAACCCAAGGTGTGTTTTCCTAGATAGGGACTCCTTTGAAAACCAGTTGATATGTAAATGTGATTGGTGCCTTTCAGGTGCTGTATCTTTCTAGCTATCTAAACAGAATACATAATATTTTCCCCAACACTCCCCCACTTGAATAAGATCTAATAAGGAGATTATTCACATACAGCCCCGCCTCCCACTCTGATTTCTGTATATTAAAAAAAAAAAAATCAAGGGAAGACATAAACCCACACATATATTTTATATCCCTAAAATGGATGTGAGCTCTAATTTTTCCTGCTTTGTATAGATTTTTTTTTTAGTTCTTTCCTCCAACAGCAATATAACATGAATAGAGAACAGATTAAAAACAAATATTACAGAAGCAGTTCTTAATCCTGGGTGTGTGTAAGTATTGTAGGGTATGCTCCACCAGGGCTCTTGGAAACTATTTGTTAAATCATTAAGGCTAGCTACATTTTCCTTCACCAGAACTTGCAATTGCACAACCCTTCGATTGTTTCTTTTAAATAATGTATCCAAATCTACATTAAGTGGTGGGAGCCATTTTAAAAAGTGAGGGAGCCATTTTATTCCAATTTCCTAGATCTTCCTGTACCACGTCCATAGATCTTTGTGTGAGTTGGATATTGGCTCTTATGACCTCTTTGCCCACTTTCATGGAGCCATAGGTAAGATTAACACACCATCCTGTTGGGGGTACCCTACATTGTATAGTTTGCTGCCACAGAACTGAAGATACTCCCAGTGCGCAGATCGTGGAACCCTGTCCGTGCACCACTCTTTTCCAACCATTTATGGGTTCGTGAAGGTTATCCCTGAGTTTTCCACCATGCACCCATCTGCCTGGACTAGTGGTTCTAGTACACAGGAACAAAGCCAAGCATTACCACGTCTGTCACAGCAACTGGGGTTGATAACTTTCCAGAACTGGTCTTCTTTTATTACTAAGCGAGTTTGTGGAAGGAATTGCTTTAAAACATTAGTGCGATTAGCCACTTCCAGCTCACCAAACATAGTCATCTTATAAACAGGTACAGGCTGTTCTGTCCAAACTGGAATGTCAATTATTAATGGAATTACCTTTTTTCCTAATTTGCACTTATTGCACCAACTCTGCAGACCTTTAATTTTGGAAAGGACTACATTCTGGCAAGCTATGCCATATCCCCTAACCAGATCAAAGACTAGGGTAGAATTGATTATTCTGGGCCATTCCCCTTGTTTTATTTCTTGGAGGCCTAAATTTAGATGTTCGTCTAGTAAATTTCCAACTATACCACATACCATAGCTTTAGATACATTATTGTTATTAACTGATTCTCTGAGAGCATTCACAGATATATTAATCCACTGCAAATCTGCAGCAACTGTGTGAATGTTCTGTATCGTGACATCAGTTTCAGCTAGAGTGTTAAAATCCACTCGTCCCTCTTTAAGCATAATTTGCTGCAACCCATTAACATAATTTTGTTCTCGTGAGTTAAGACCCTCTATGTCTGCCCTATTCCAAATTGATGTTCCCAAACTGAGTCCTGAGATTATATCAGTACCCAGATCCCTTTTTTCTCTCTCTCTAAACTTGAGCCCTTGTGTTGCATCCCAGAATAGATTAATATGTGCTTGAAATACATTTTTAAACCATTCTTTCATTATCTCTGGGCAACTCTCTGGTATATTAAATAATGAAAAATTTAACAATAACGGTAATGTTACATAAGATACATCAGTATACACAACAGTTTGTGTTGGTTGTAAGAAAAGGCCATGCTCTGGCCACAGGGTGGTAGTTGGACAGTCCTGAGAATTTATAATTCTTATATTAATTGCTGGGTCAACTGTATTACGTAATCCAGTCTGATGGGGGTTGCATGTTACAACACCATTCTGGGAAAATGTAAAATGTCTTTCCAGCAGCATCTTTATCCTCACTTCCTTTGTGATATTGGCCCAAAATATACTTGTACTCTTATGTAAGTCACTTCCTCCTGCAAATTCAGAGGGAAGGTTAGTTTTAGGCATTGAAGTATTACATTGTACCCCTATCCACCCCCCTATAGGCCCAACCACTGTAAGATTATCTTTACATGTAACGTCATGTGATTGTTCCTTTACTTTTAATGTTACTATGATATTCTCTGAATCTTCTGAACTCTTTTTCTCCCTATGATAACCCTCTACTGGAGTACTCTGATGTACCATTTTATTATTATTCTTCATCATGACATTCCCTTTTTCTAAGCTATACAGTATATACATAAAAAACGATACAAATAACCACCACATCATGACTGCTGTTTTCTTGCACTTCATATTTCTTATGTGGGCTGCTCTTCCAGGGATCCACTCCATCTCCTATTATCTGTAAATGAGAACTAAGAGACTATGTTAACATTAACATTAACTTGGCATAAAGTTCTCATCTCCCACATCTAACAAATACACAGAAGGGCCAATTTTGTCAAGCACAATTTATGGACCTTTCCATTTTGGTTTTGGAAATGGGTGGTAAGGGGAAAAATCTTGCAACATTACTCCGTTTCCAATCTGATGCTGTTATATCCCTTTTTTAAAAAAAAACCCAACAAAGATTCAAAGATGTTTGTCAGCATGCAATCTATAGAAAACTGACAACGGTCTATTGCCATACAAAGATAAAAATCAGCTTAAGGCTATTTTTATTGGTAACCATATATAGAAACAAAAGAAAAACAAACATACATACAGATGTAGAGAAAAACAAAAAAAAAAATTATGGTAGTTAATTGCTGGGAACCCTCAATTGATCTGTCTTTCCCTCATTTCTCATCTGTTCCCTAAGCGCTTTTACGTCTGCCTCCAATCTCTCAGTCTGTCTCTTCAGATCCCAATATTCTCTATTCCCTTCTTTATTCCTCCAATTATCCCAATTTCGTCTATTGGTCTGATCATCCCATCTATGTTCCTTCTCCAAGTATTCTCCCAATAACTGTTCCTGTTGTTTCTTCGTTTTTCTCCCCATCTGTGATTTCCCCAGTTATTATCTCTCCTTTTTAGCCTCTCCCAGTTATTATTATTATTCCAATTATTGTTAATTACCTGAGGCTCATCCCATCTATTTCTCCAATTATCTCCCATTACATTGCTCCCTTTAGCACTATTCCTATGGTCCCTCTGTGGATCTCTCGGTCTTTTGTCACTATCAGATTCATTCTCACATCTAAAATTTCCCACATGCTGAAATTTATCTCCCCTGAATGGTTTCTGAGGATACATGGCAGACCTGTCTCCCCTCTCTACTCTGAAAATCCTTGCAGCATCTACAGCAAAACTCTCATTTTTAACCTTTCTTCGCCACAAATTATCAGCTCTTAACAGTAAATCACACATTTCTGATGGGTTTGGGGTTACAGATAATATCTCATCTTTAATATCTTGCTCTAATGCATCCAAAAACATTGATCTATGCACCATCCCTCCCTGTTCAAAACCAGGATCACTGACACCAAACTGTTCCATCACTGTGGAGATTCTAGCTGACAATTCATACGGAGACTCTTGTTTCAGCTGTTTAATTTTTCCAGACAATGACACATTTGATGTAACTCCATAAAGTGCTCTCAAGATCTCTTTCAACATATCCCTAGTTCTACGCTGCTGACCACATGTCTGTACAATCCTGACCCACAATTCATTTCCAACAACTCTCTGCAGCACTCTTTCCATATCACTAGTTGTCAAACTATACATCTCTTTCACTCTTTGAATTCCACAAAACCATTGCAAAAAGCGATTGATATCCTGCTGAGGGACCTGCCCTATTTCTCTAACTATGGCATCCATTTCTTGTGGCTTCAACTGCTTAGTAACTAGCTTAATCTCTCCAGAATTATCAAGATTCAACACTGTGGTTGTTGTAGTTGGAGCCACAGGGAGATTTGTCACTGACTTTTGTTTCAAATCCTCCCATGGATAAAGAGGTTTGTATCCTGTATCTCCAATCCCTGGGTTAGCAATAGACCCTGGAATTTCAGATACAGGAGACCTACTCGAAGGTGCCATGCTTTCTGCCATTTTATTAAAAGCCATATTAGTAGCATGTCTGCATTCATCCAATTCTTTTTGCAACTCCAAAATTTTCTCATTAAGCCTCTCATTCTCCACTGTAAGCTCCTCACACCTTTTGGCAATTTCAATCAAAGCTTCACCAGTTGTAACTGCATGCACTCTTAGATCTACAATCTTATTATTTAATTTCTCAGATTTCATGTTAAAGGACCACTCTAGGCACCCAGACCACTTCAGCTTAATGAAGTGGTCTGGGTGCCAGGTCCAGCTAGGCTTAACTGCTATGTTTATTAATGGGTTAAGCCTTCCCCCAAAGCCTCTAGTGGCTGTCCCATTGACAGCCACTAGAGGCGATTGCGTGCTTCTCACTGTGATTTTCCCAGTGAGAGCACGCCAGCGTCCATAGGAAAGCATTGTAAATGCTTTCCTATGCGACCGGCTGAATGCGCGCGCAGCTCTTGCCGCGCGTGCGCATTCAGCCGACGGGGCGGAACGGAGGAGGAGAGAAGGAGGAGAGCTCTCCGCCCAGTGCTGGAAAAAGTTAAGTTTAAACCCCTTTCCCCCTTCCAGAGCCGGGCGGGAGGGAGACCCTAAGGGTGGGGGCACCCTCAGGGCACTATAGTGCCAGGAAAACGAGTATGTTTTCCTGGCACTATAGTGGTCCTTTAATTACTGAATTAAGCTCTGCCATTTCATCCTCCTTTATTTTTAGAAATCCCTCTAATTTTAAACAACATGATAGTAATGATTGCATAATACACCCTTTTCTTTTTTTATCAGAAACATTTTTATCAAATAACATTTCTCCTAAAAACTCCTGCATCTTTTCCCATGACTGTTTACAGTCCTGAGGGATTTCATAAGGACCACCATGTCTCTTAATATAATTCATAAGCCATTGTTTAACATTTTCTGAACAAGCCATTTTTGCATCTACCTTTTTACATGCCATATTAAAAATTTACACTGCACCAATAGAATAAATAACAAATATACTCTTCTGAAACCTCTTCTGGCTGACAGTCACAGAACCAAATACGGTGATGTTAAAACCTGGATCCTAGGCAGATTCTGAAGAAAACAAATCTTCCGGCCACGGTCACAGCACCAATTATGTTGTATAATCCTTCTCTCAGCACCAATACTTCCAATTGGTATCCTTTTGAGAGAAATCCACTCTGCGTTGTGTTTTAATAGTGAATGTAATATCCCTGTGTCACCTCTTCCAAGAACTAACATATATCTTTATCCCCTTGTCCAGATAAATATATGACTAGAACTACTAAGGTATTCTACCCGATATTACAAATAAACAGCCAACACCATAGTTCTTACCAGAGAGAAATCTTTACTTAGAATCTGCCCAATTCAATATTACAGAAGAAGAATGTTACAGAGTTATAGTTAAAATTCATTCATAACACTCATACATTCCATCTATCTAATACTATCTGCTACATTGTGTATAATAATATCTGCTACATTGTGTATGTGCTGTGCAATGTTATGTGCAGCATGTGTGTCTTACCAAAACCTAATCTAATGTGATGTCAGTATCTTCTATTTTTAAAGGAATTGGTTCCCATGTTGTAAATAGCAAATTCCTCAGCTCAATTGATATGTAAATGTGATTTACTTTCCCAAGGCCTAAAGTGTTGTCTATCCTGTTATTTTATTAAAGTGTTAACTCTCCCAGCCATCCCTTTGTCTCTAACCCAAGGTGTGTTTTCCTAGATAGGGACTCCTTTGAAGACCAGTTGATATGTAAATTTGATTGGTGCCTTTCAGGTGCTGTATCTTTCCAGCTATCTAAACAGAAACTCCCTTTGAAGATAATTCCTGACCTCCCATACACACAGACTTAATCAAGCACATATTAAACAGATATATTCATAATATTTTCCCCAACAAACGGTTTTTACCCCTTGTGTGCAAAACGGTCTGTTACACTTATCATGTCGGACAGGTTTTAAAATTAAAACTTTCTGCCCAACCTGGAAGCTACGGTCCCTGGCGCCTGGGACCGTAGCTTCCAGGTTGGGAAGAAAGTTTTAATTTTAAAACCTGTCCGACATGATAAGTTACAGGCCCCTTATAGAGTGGTGGAACAGATGTGACACCACTCATATAATCATACCAGGTGCGTTGGCGAGTCTGAGCCGCCTGAAGATTTTCCTGTACCGTCCTAGTTAGCGCTTCTAGGCGGTCTCGGAGTGCAAACACATATGGTACGATGGGGGGTCCCATCTGCGCTCCGGTCTCCCTACCAATGTTCTCTAATAAGGTCTAGGGGCCCTCTTACTCTCCTCTTGAATAACAATTCGAATGGGGAAAACCCAGTCGACTCCTGCGGCACCTCCCTGTAAGCGAAGAGGTGGTGGGGCAGGAATCGCTCCCAGTCCCGGTGGGTCTCGGCGAAGGTTCGGAGCATTTGTTTTAATGTACCATTGAACTATTTGCAGAGCCCATTGGTCTGGGGATGGTAGCGGGCACTGATGATAGGCTTAATGCCACAGAATTTACAGAGATGCTGAGTGACCTCTGTGGTAAATTGAGTACCCTGGGTAACCCCATCCGGGAGAAAATCTGCATCAGGGCCTCGGCCACTGTTTCAGCGTGGATATTGGTCAGTGCCACCGCCTCTGGGTATCTGGTGGCATAATCTACAGCAGTTAAAATATATTTCTTGCCAGAAGGGCTAAGTTTCCGAAGTGGGCCTATGAGATCTACCGCTATTCTACCAAACGGC